TTCAACCGAAAATCTTCAATTATGGGTTTCTTCATCAAGTCATATGAATTCAAACAGTAATTTGGCTGGATATTTCAGTGCTAAACAATGGATATTTCTCAAGCGGTGGGATATTATGTTTTATTCTGATTTTCTCGAAGAAGGAGTTTAAGTTCGATGGTATAGACCCACTAACGCCACAATGATGAGACAACAGTGGCGCGAACCACCCACTTTCTGGAAACTTCATTTGTTATTAATATTATTTTCCCTTCTTGATGTTATCTCAATAATCGCCCGCAATTAATTACCCATCTACCAATTCTGATAAACCCTTGCTCCATTTTCACCTTCCCGGGTTCCAATGCCCATTGATGTCAACAGCATCGTGGATAATCGCTCTCCAGGGGGATCATCCCCAGTTATTGAAATCTAGCGGTTATTGTTTTACAAACATAGTATCTCAAACCAGTTACAAGTGGCTGTGTTTCGAATTCAAAGCTGCCCTTCCCCTAAACTGGTTGGCAACTACAACTAAAGAGTCCCATTCGAATCGTTAAACTTTCATCTCCACAAGGCTTTCCTAGCGTCCTGATATATAAAAATATGGTATGATTATACAAACATAATATCTGCCCTCCATATCTAACCAGCTTCAGGTGGATGGGTTTTGAATTCAAAGTTGTTCTTCTCCTAAACTGGCTGACAACCGCAGCTAGAGAGCCCAATACGAACATTACAGCATCAGCACAAAACTTACCTAACGTTCTGAAATATAATTTATGTTATATAGCATGATTATCAAGATAAAAAATCCAAAATATATTGATATTTACGAAGGTTAACTTAATTTGGGGCCAAGCTCTAATTGTAGGGCATATTTTTAGGGTTTAATTTATGAAAGTACATGAGAGAGTGGGTGAAAAAGAGTGAGAATGAGACAGCGTGATAGTGATTAAGAGAGAGTGAGTGTCTTTGAGTAGAGAAAGTGAGAGAATGTGTACGAGAGAGAGAGTGAGGGGGAGTGAGATAGAGATAGAGAAAAAGTCTCCATCGCTACCACACACCGCCGAGTTTATAGAGTATGCAGCCAAGATTCAGATTTCTGAATCTAAGCAACATTAGCATGATTTCCTTTTCCTCATTCGCAAGGAAATTAATTATGATCCGGAAATCCAACTCAAGTCGGGAAAATTGTGGTAACCTTGGAAAAAAATAAAATAAAATAAAAATTACATAACATTCCTTAATATAAGCGATTGTAAAAATCTAGGCAAAAAAATCTGAGACAAACAAAATATTAGCGTCATTCGAATTTTAACCAACCGTAATTGTGTTGTACCATAACTAAAGAAACAACAGTTTTATCGGATGAGCTATTGTCGTTTAAGAACAAATAATGCCTATGCTATAAACAATGATCAAAACGTCTACCTTAAATAAATAAAAAAATAATTAAATATGGACCAAGGCATTGTAACTGTGTTGTATCTTTAAAGAGGTTGCAAACTGACAAAGGTGGTACTCGAGTGAAGAAACAGCAACACACGCGTGGATGAAAGAACAGAGGTTTATTGTAAAAGAGAATACACTACTGAAAGTAGTACTACGGGTTGTAGGCTAGTAATTCCCGTTGTAAGGTTATTTACCTTACCTCCTCGCGAGGCAGGATGTGGCGCAATGTGGGGCAAGACCGAGTCTGTAGGTTCGGACAAAAATTCCCCGTAGACCCTGTATACACGAGGTCGGGTAGCTACGTTACCACTCTAGACGAGACTCAGCGCTTCGGCATAGCCTCGTTTGGGTCCCTCACTGCCTGAAGGCATAGGGTTCGACCAGTACAGCTGGAGACGAATCTCCAACTAATTGCCGAAGCAAGGTTATTTTCCTTACCTCCCCGCGAGGCAGGATGTGGCACAATGCCGTTTTTTAATGCGGGGCAAAACCGATCCCGTGGGCTCGGGAAAAAATTCCCCGTAGATCCGTATACACGGGGTCGGCTAGTTGTCTATCACCCCAGCGTCATCTGGGTTCATCTGGGCTATTGTCGATTAAAATCTATAAAATTTCTCTCTTAAAAAAGGAAGATACGATTCTCAAGTTTATTTAGTGTTATCGTTTATTCCAGTATTGGTGGCGTTTCCTTCCTAACCATTTCTTTACGTCTGTGTGGAATATCAACGTCTTGATTATGTTATTATTTTCTCTTCGCGTTACATGTGCCATTAAATGTGCTGTTAAATGTCCTCTAGTTCTGATATTTTGGTAAAGTTCTTTGTGATTGTATAGAGACATTCCATGAGGTTTGAAGAAGGAAAGCTTATTCAAATTCGAAAATCATTAGCATCTATTTGTTACGCTAATACAAACTTTATAGCGAAATTGTCATGAAACAATGAGCAACATCTACCGTATTATTTACTGCAAGATATTTTATTGTGTTAATCTGAGGTGGGGGAGAAAAAAGATTTTCAACAATATTCTTTTCAAAAACATACTATAAAGCATGGAGTATTGCTGCCACATATGGTCTGGAGCCCCTTCTGTTTGCCTCGGGGTTCTTGATAGGCTCCAGAGGCGGACATGCAATATAATTGGCCTTGTTCTGGCATCTCGTCTACAGTCACTCTCTCACAGACGTGCCGTCGCCTCTCTCTCTGTCTTTTTTACAAATACTTTCATGGTAATTGCTCCGAGGAGCTGCATTCGCTGGTTCCCAGACTTCATGAATTCAAGCGCCCTACGAGGCTGGCATCCCACTTTCACCCTTTCACTGTCGAAACTGTTAAATGTAGCCGTCTCTTCTACTTCAATAGCTTCATGTCCCGCACCTCTCGCCTGTGGAACTCCCTTCCCTATTCCAGTTACCCTGAGAGTTATAATCTCCAGCTATTCAAATGTAATGTCAATCGACATCTCTAGTTGCCTTGATTTATCCACTATCCTTCTCCTCATCCTTTCTTCTATCACTCCTATCTGTTCTTCCTCCAAATTTTCTGTAACCCCTTGCGTCCTAGTGGCTTCTCGCCTTGCTTGGGGTGAAACGCTTTAAAAAAAAGCAGTGAAAACGGGCATGCCCTTTTTTATTGCTTCTTTCTATAGTACATAGAGGATGGCTGATGCTAACCTCCAGGAAAGTGACTACATTGCGCTTTCTCTGGCTAACGTTCTCAGCTGACATAAAGTGGAAAAGACTATAATGAATCCGTTGTTAGGTCAGCTGCTAAGGTAGTCGGTTCATGATGTTGGGTGAGACAATTTTTCTCTCTAGAATCTATCTAACATATCTATAAGTCTACCATTCGCCCATGCTTCGAAGATTGCTTCCACATACGGTCCGGTGCCCCTGTTATAAATTTTAGAGATCATTGATAAAATCCAAAGAAGAATCAGCAATATTATTGGTCCTGACCTGGCATTTCGGCTTCCGTCACTTCCCACCATTGTAAAGTTACTGCCCTGTGTCTTTTCTATAAATACTTTCATGCTAATTTTTCGGGTGAGCTCTTCACTATGTTACCTAGATTTTATTAATTTTAGCGCAGTACTAGAAGGGAGATGACGTTTCATCAATTTGCAGTCAATTTACCTTAAGTTCTATAACGGTTTTTTTTTCTCGCACTTGTGAAACTCTTTTCCGGATCTATGCTTTTCAGTCAAGTTTAATCTTCAAAAATTTAAATGCAATTTCAATCGCTATGTACTCTTGTCCTTATTACACTTCTATTGTTCTTTCTACTTAGTAATCTTTCTGTTTTCTAAGTCGTCCACACCCAGTAATTCCCTTGTGTCTTAGTGGCTTTACTTCCTTGCTTGGTTGAAGTCGATTAAAAAAAAATAATTGTACCTCTAATAATACCTTCAAGTACTTTTCAGATACCTATCCATTGAAATCCGAAGCCTGGATTATTTTGTGAAGTTTAAGTGAAAAATCGTCCCATTTGTTCAAACAGAATCTTTTTAAGACACTGTTTGGGAAACAAGAAGTAATTCTTTCTTATATTAGTGTTTCATATCCGTTTATATAGTTTTAATTATATTTTGACCGTTAAGATCTTTCAACTTTCTATCAGTAAACAATTATTAGTTCGCAATTAGGATGAATGTGCAGCTGATTGCTTATAAAATTTGAATTAAGCTTCTAAGATGTACAGTGTGTGGCAGAAATACATCCCACATATACTTCCTAGAAATACTCCCCACATGATGGAAAGATATTAGCTAGAGGAAAATATCAATACCTTACCATTATGTGGGTGGAATTTCTTGGAGGTATATGTGGAACGTATTTCTATTGTATAAATAGAGCAGAACAAATCCTATGTCCGGGAGCAGAAAAGTAATTTCAGAATGCAGTTTGCATCAAATGCAATTATGCATGTATGTGTAAATGTACACGAAAATGGTTCTAAGTGGAGCACAAATTCTATCTGCGAATAATATTGGTAATAAGTTTTAGCTTCCTAAACATTTCGTCTTCAAGTAATGAATTCTTACTACACTGCCAATTCATCACCGCTTAAAATCTGTTATAAATTTGTAATCGATCGATCAAGCGAGTCGGCTCGCCAGTTGTTTAAACGCTTGCGTTCATTTTATTTTATCATGTAATTTAGACAGACACATTAAACCAAATTAATATATATATATATATATATATATATATATATATATATAATTATTTATTTAAAATATGATTCCATCGCAACATAAGAGTTCTCATGTTTCAAAACAAGAGCCGAAAACTTCAATATAATTATTAGAATTAAATTGAATTAAAGTACCAAGCTATGTTCCATCTTCAAGCAAAACGAGTTCTTTCCTATTTTGAATTTTCCTATTTTATATTTTCACACACACACACACACACACACACACACACACACACACACACACACACACACACATATATATATATATATATATATATATATATATGACCTACTTTATAGGGTTTAAGATATTTTGTCATATATACACCCAATATATATATTTTCAAAGTACACCAACACACACGATGCTTACGATCATATAGCGTTGAAATACCGGGTCGTATACGATCACCGAAGTTAAAGAACGTCGCACCTGGTCAATACTTCGATGACTAACCGCTTGGGAAGAGCAGGTGTTGTGAGTTTGCATGTGCGGGTGGTGTAATTTATACCGGTTCCCAATTAAAGATCGGAGAGATGTGTTTCAATTCCATTTTGGTTCTTTATATTCAATTTCGTGCATACACCTTTTGGGATGTATATGAACACACCTCTTCTCCCCGACCAGCTTTGAGTTAATTAGTAGGATTCTATCAGTAAATCATTATTATCTACAAAATTTTCTTACAGTCTAAATTATTTTCTGGCATTAAATAATTTGCAAAATATTGATAAACCGTAACAAATAAATCAATCAGCCAATCAAAAACACACATATAAAAACGTAAAATCCTCGAGGCACGGTGGAGTAATGGATAGCGGCTTGGATTGAGGAATTGGAGACCCGAGTTCGAATTCCAGTCGATTCCATTACATTCACTTGCTAATACCCTTGGGAAAAGTATGAATCCTTTTCCCCCAGCTATGGGTAAATAGAAGGAAAGACCGGGTTGCCTTAGATGGTTTCTGTGGGAAAAAAATCTGCCACTTCAGTCGTGTATCTAAAGATACATGATCACCTACGCGCATGGCTTCTGACTGTAAAAAGTTCTAAATCCGACTAAGAAGCATTTAAAAAAAGGAAGCAGCTATTTCGCCGGTCCCGGTAAAATAGACAAACATGCTTTTAAGGCTTATTTTACTGATGTCGGTAAAATAGACCCCATGCTATTTTGCTGGTACATGCTTTCATTATTATGAAGGCATGTAATGCTATAAATGACAACACACATATTGTTAAAACACACGTCAAAATAATTTATTTTCATCAGTGTTTAAAAGAAATATAGAAGTCTCCGAATACTTTAAGCACTTCGGGCATAGCAGTCTCTGAAACTCCCAGACTTGTCCTTGGCAACGTTCTTTTGCCAATACTCTTCTGATGCATCCACTAAAGACAACAGTTGTAGACTACAGAATCCATTTTGTTCACGTCAGACCCCGTTCTGAACCTCATAATGGTTGATTTATCAGGCATTGACTGGTATCTTGATTCCAGCGTGTGGTAAGCAATATAACCAATATCACAGGTTGACCCAAGCCTCGTGAGTGAAATTGAATAGGCGCAAATATTTGGGGGACTGTACTAGCACGAAGTCACAAGTCATCGTGGCCGAGGATTTGAGCGCATTATCCTTGTTCAAATTGTTGATCCCCCTAGATAAAGCACTCTCTCCCAGAAACTGTAACTAAGGTCTGCTAAGCATAGTTGCAGTATAAATCACAGTTGTCTTTGTGGGTGTTGAACAAACGCAAATGTGCCTGATCAGGCGTCTGCAACGGGGATTTGTTAGTAGACAGGCATACACGGATACAAACGGTCAGACACCATCAAAATTAAAATGTTCGTTTTATGAAAGAATCAGATAAAAGTTGTAGCATCAGGAATCTTTAAAACTTCAACTGTAACATCTGATTTAGCCATTCCTTCTTTCTTTTCTTTTTATGTGCCATGTCCTTTCAGGACGTAGGCGATCATGGCTCTCCACTTCCCTCTAGCCCCTGAAGCTCTCAACAAGTTTCTTCCCTCAGCTTTCTCCTCCAGATCACGTTCTGTCATCCACTTGCTTAAGTCCGCAAAGTATGTCATGCGTTGTTTTCCCTTGTCTCTCTTTCCATCTATTCGACCTGTGGGTATCAGATTCTCCAGACCTTCCTTCCTCATTATGTGTTCCAGAAATTTCAGCCTGCCTCTTCCTGACGTTAAGTATAAACCTCCTTGTTTGTATCCTCTCTAAGACCTCATCTTTACTCACATATGTTCGATCCATGACATAGTTAGCATCCTTCTGTAGAACCACATCTCCGACAGCTCGAGTTTCTTCTTCATCTCTACCGTAAAGAAGGACAGATGTCACGTAACAATTCAGTATTCATTTTTTGTTACCAAAGATATCCTCCTGTTTTCAATACTCTGTCCAGGTTTTGGAATGCGTTCTTGGCCATCCCAATACGCCTACGGATTCAGTGTCGAACTTACTGTCCTCTGTCAAGACGCTTCCCAGGTAATTAAACTTAAGCGTCTGCTTGATTCTAGTGTTCCCGACCTTCAAATCGAATTTCGAGCTCATCCTCTTACTGATGGCCATGCACTCGTCTTCTTGTAGTTTATGTCTAGTCCTTTCTTTTCACTCTCCGTCGCTATCTTCTGTAGGAGATTTTGTAATTTCATTTCCGTGTCTGCCATCAGTACTGTGTCATCTGTGTATCTTATGTTGTTAAGATTGTGGCCGCCAATGTTAAATCCCGGTGGGGTTTCCAATTCTCTCAGGATTGCCTCGCTGTATAGGTTGAACAGGTCTGGTGAGAAGACGCATCCTTGCTTTACGCGCCTTTCTATTTTTGTATATTCACTGAACTCGTTCCCTATGCGCATTCATGCTGTTTGCTGACAGTATAGGTTCTTGATTATTCTGGTATCTTTCCCGAATATATCGAGGTTGCTGAGCAGTTCCATCAGATCCTTGTGCCGTACTTTGTCGAAGGCCTTTTCGTAGTCTATGAAACATAGGTACACGTCCTTCTGCATCTGTGTTCGCTCTTTCTGATAACATTCTGAGCACGATTATCGCGTTCCTTGTTCCGGTGTCTTCAACGAACCCGCACTGTTCTTGTCGTATCTCTGAGCAGATTCTGCTTCGCGCTCTATTCATTGGAATACGGATGATGAGTTTTGTCACATGGCTCATTAGACTTATTGTTCGGTGGAGTAGTTTTGCCACAGCCCTGCTAGCAAACAGTAATAAATACAATGTTTGTATTTACTTGAACCCCACTGAGTCAGGAAGTGACACAAGGTCGGTTTTTAACGTGGGGACCCGAGTGTCTTCACACGGGCCGCTGGTCTTAGCTGGTCATAGCTTTTTCACGCTGGTCAGAGCTAGTCATATCTGATCTTAGCTTGTCCAAGCTGGTCAGAGCCGGTTCAAACAAGTCAGAGCCGGTCCATAGCTGTGATACTACCAGCACAGCGACCAATCCCTGCGCTCGCTATGTATCAATGTGTTACAAACTACTCGAGAGAGCAGCTTACAAAAGTAAGTAGTAAATACAATGTTTATGAAATTAAAACATTTAATTTTTATTTAAGTAATCATGGTAACAGATTTGTATTATAAAAATGCATATACAGCAGAAATTGCAGTAGAGCAGTTAGTTCATATTCTGAGCATCCACTTTATTGATCTATACCGGGTAAAAATTCACAAGTGCTATTTCACTCTATGTTTACTACACAACTGATTATCAAAATGTCAGATCGAATTTAGCTTTTATATTATGGACAAAGAAAATAGTAATAGTAACTTTAGTTTCTTTTTAATGTAATACATTTTTAAATATTAAAGACTCATTTGTGTTTCTAATGTCACGTGTTCCTAGTCAAATGAATAAAGAAGACGCGTTTTCAAGTTAGAAAAGTTGATTGGTCGCTTTCGATCTAGCACTAACTTCCCAGTGGGGATAAAAAAAAAATCACTGGTTACATTTAAAGCCTCGAAAACCAGACTAGTTACATTCCATCACCGCCGATCGAACCCCGAACTCCCGCCAATCACGATGAACAGATGTACCCGCGAGGAGACACCGTGCATTTAGAGAATATTGGGCCTCAAACACACACCTGACTTCAAGTGGAACTCTCATATGCGATCCACTCTAAAGTTGCAGATAAAATGATCGGCTCCCTGTACCGCTCCAGTAAGTGCATGCACTCCCCTACCTTTATAACAGCCAGATCAGACCAAAAATGCAGTACTGTTATCATATCTGGGCGGGAGTTGCGCAGACCTCACTTTCCAGTCTTGATAGAGTTCAAAAGCGTCTCCGAGCCCTTGTTGGAGAAGAATTATTTTCCACCCTCCAAACTCACTCTCTCAGGCGGGTTGTGGAGAGCCTCTCACTGCTCTATCGCTACTGCCATTGAAAGTGCTTGGACCAACTACATTCCTTACTTGCGCCAGGTTTATCTTTCACGGCTAGGACCCGCTAGGACCCACCATGACACATTGTAGCAAACCACCTACATTCCCTCTGTATTCCATCGGTGAGAAGTTCCACTCGAAGAACTGTTCCCCCGATCAATATAATCTTAACCTATTCAAGTCTTCCGTTCCTATCCATATAAAATAACCTTATCGTACCCCTCTACCGTCATTGGCTCCCGGGCCTTGTAAAGTTTATTTAAAAAAAAACAACAAAAAACAATCTTGTATAATGGCATATCAACCTCTTTAATGCTGAAATCTTAAATATTCTAAACACAATTTTTATGGCTTCAACTTCGGAAAAAATGTACTGTTGGTGATTTTGCGATAAAATGTGTTGCTGGCCATTTTACTATAAAATGTACTGTTAGTCATTTTACTATAAAATGTATTGTTGGTAATTTTGTTTAAAAATATATTGTTGGTAATTTTATTATAAATATGTATTGTTGGTAAGTTTTTTTGTTATATATAAAAATGTATTACTGGTATTTTCAATATAAAAATGAATTCTCATTTTTTGTTTGGAGGTTCATAGCTGGGACCTTAACAGGTGCTACCACTCCATAGTTAGAAAAGATTCGTAGATTTTAAATATATTTCCTAAAAAGAAAATACTTCTTTTTAGATAATAAATTTGTTTTAAAGTTAGACTTTTAAAATTTAATAGAAGTTTGTCTATATTAAGGGCATTTTTATGTTAAATAAACACAAATTAGAGTTTTTATTTACTTAATATATTTTATATGAAATATTGCCACTCTTTCGCCGATGGAAAATTTACAACGCAAATTAATAATGAATGGTTTTCAGTATATAGGTCTTCATTGTAAAGTACATCAAAGGTATTTTTATAGAGAGGCGATGTCCATCTTTTCTCTTGAAGCCTTTTATACATTTGTTAACCCATTTAGATCTTTTTTTATGTGACTTTGTTCTTTTAATTTTTGGTGTGAAGTTTTGGTTATGAGCTAAGGAAAAACAAACTTTTACCTTA